CGCCTCGTTGAACGGTAGGCCAGGACGCAGACCGGTCACCCGTTTGCAGGAACTCTCCACCCCGTACCCAGCTGTGGAGCCCGTGAAGACACCGCAAGTGACCCCGTCCTGAGTAGGGGTCAAATCCCAGTTCATTACTCTGGGGACCGCGAAAGATCGCAATTCGACGATCGAAAACCCTCTCGGTATGCTGGGAAGATAATAGTGGACCCCATCCACCACGCGGAACCACCTGCTCTCCTTGATCAGCAGGGCAGAAGGATCAGTCGCGGCATCGCCGAACAAGAACTGGGGCTTTTGTAACTCCGTCTTGGCCTTGTCTGTCAACACCGCGTCGGTGGTCAACTCACGTAGCGTTAGATGGTGCCCATCAGTGACTCTCTTTATCAAGCCATACGGCTTATCAGTAGAGAACATAGGCACCGGATCCAAGGAGGGAAATCAGGGAGGTGCCGTATAGCTTGTGCCTCCGGCGAGACCGAAAGAGCTTCGTCAGAAAAGGTCGCTACAAGAAAGAACCAAAGAATCAGGACAGAATCTGCCCTAAGGGTAAATCCGCCTATCAAGCTAAGAAAAGCGAATTCGCCTGTCAAAAAGTGAAATCCACTTAAACTGAACGAGATCTGCCTGTCTAAACGATACTTCCCTTTACCAGAGAAAAAGTCGGACTCGCCTATCAAAAACTAGTTCGCCTTCACCCAATAAAGGTTAATTTTGCCTGTAGAGACGGAGATCGTCCTCTACGAATAAATGTAAAATCCACCCAAAAAGGACCGACTTTGCCCTAAATCGGGGAAGCTGCCAAAGGATGACTGAATCCAGGGAGGACAAGTGATACTCATCCTCCCAACCCGACGCTTGTAACCTACACAAGGTCGTCAGACAAACCCCTTGACTTACCCAAGTGCGTCTCAGGCACGCTGGCGGGTGCGCCGGCGGCGAGGCGGTCAGAATAGCGTCCAGGACCTCATCCCTTCGCAACGTACTTCTTAGATTTCGGCGCCATTAGGGGATAAAGCGGGAACTCTCTCTCTCTTTAAAAATTTTTCAAGATTCCTGAGCACGGTAACCCTCAAAGGAAGGGAACAGCCTATTTAAAGGCAGAGTTACTGACGTGGCCACGATCGCCCTTAAAAGGCGAAACACTGGCGGACGAGAAACGTGACCACGATCGGAATCAACGGCCCAGATTTCCCCCAACATTTCAAAGGAACCATCAAGACGGGAAACGGGCCAGTCGAAAACCCAGAACCCGAGCCGAAATCAACGGTTGTATCCGACGGGGGAAACGGGCCAGTCGAAAACCCAGAACCCGAGCCGAAATCAACGGTTGTATCCGACGGTTGGGTTCAAAAACCACGGCCACGATTCAAACAAGATGCACGAAGCTCACGACAGATTATCGAATCACAATGAACGCGACATGACGGAACCACGCCGCCTTAGCTGGAAAGCACAAAGCCCCACCGGGGGACGCGTGGCTCACTCACACTGAACCTAGTTTCGCCCAAAGGAAAAGTCTCACCTGCGAAAACTCTAATCAGATTCGCAAGTTGAGCAAAATTTCGCCTGCAAAACCTAACTTCATCTGAATGGCTCATTCGCCTGTGGAGACAACTGACCTGTCCAAAGCCTCGAACCTCCAACGAGATGGCCTCGTTTTAACCCGCGCCTCAGAGGGCTGAGGGTTAGAGTCGAAATCTTAGCATCAAGTCTAAGAGAAACTACTCGACAACTCATCATACTAAGGGGAATAGTATGGCTAGCCCGATTCAAACGGTAATCAGTAAAGGCATGTCAAACCCGTTGATAGCTGAGGGTTTGCTAAAAATCCTAAAAGAAACCTAATGCACTTGTTTCGCCAAGAACTTCTTTATTCAAAGTATTCCAGACCACACGCAAGCCGGTTTAGGTCTGAAAACTTTGAAGGGGGTCTTGTAGATGGTAAAAAATACCTCTGTAGGCTTGCAAGAAATTCGCCTACAAGGAGAAGTCGCCCATACAATTCGCCTAAGCCACAGGAATACAACTCGCCTGACTTAGTCTGAAGTCAAATTCGCTAGCGAACCTCAAGGCCGCCAGAACAACTAGGTATCTGCTACACCACGTGCCAAGGTGGGCCTTCCCACCTCTCTCGACCTAAAGGGAGAAGGCACGGTACTCCAGGCCCGTCGAATGGCCGTTCACAGTACGAGTGATTGGGCAGGTATCGAGTCAACCTGAACACTCATAAATGCAGCTCACCTCATCCGTCCGAGTCGAGAGCTGGATCCGCCGGCATTCGGCAAGCTGTCCAAACCCACTCGAGTGCCGGGCACCTGCTTTCCCACCTCTCATGACCTGAGAAGAGAGAGAGCATAGTACTCTAGGCCCGTCCAGTGGCCGCTCACAGTACGAGTGATCAGACAGATGCCAAATCAACCTGCGCGCTCATAAATACGACTCAGCTCAACGGTCCAAGTCAAGAGCTGGATCCGCCGGTGCACAGTAGGCTGGCCAAATCCACTCGAGTAGTGGGCAGCCGCTGTCTCACATACGAGGAGGGTCCTTCCCATTCCTACGTGACACGACGTGAAGCACAACCTTGACAGTACATGGTCACATCCCATAATTCAAGGAGTGACCACGCCGTCTCTCCACCATTTAAGAACTTCTTCCAGCCACAGGGAAGGAAGGATCGGTTCACCAGTTCAGAACTTTTTCCAGCTACGAAGAAGAAGTTTAGTTGTTTCTCAGCCGTCCAGCGATTCGCTCATTGCTGAATCAGCTAATTGAACCACTAGCTCTCGACTCCCGATCGGGTCGACTGCAAGCTCTTTGCATAACCTTTGCACTGTAGCATCACCTCTCAGTTCCGGGCCCTGATCGCCGCCGAAGTCGAGAACCCGAACTCCATCAATCCGAGTTTCTACTGTGTACTGAAACTCTCCAGCAACTTCGGTCGAACCGTCCAAGGGAAGCAGACTCGGCACGAGCATCGAGCGAAGCATCCTGTAGCTACCAAAAGTCCCCACACTAAACAAGGAGGGCCTTCCCTCTGCTTCTGTTGTAATTTCAATTTAATAGTTTGTAATAAGCCTTCTTATTAATACAAACGAAGTTCCCTATTTTCGGGAGATCAAAATTTACACCTACAATATAAGATGCCCACATCGCGTCCGCGCGGGTCGGACCGAGCCGACCCGCGCCCCCCGCGGGTCGGCGGGGTGTTTCGCGCAGGTTTGACCTGAAAACCCGTTTTTGGCGGTTTTGACGGGTTTTTGCGAGATCTTTTCAGTTCCAGAAGTTCCCAACTGACTTGATATCATCTACAAACATGGTTAGGCCGTTATTGACTAAAGATAAGGCCAAATTACTCATTCTCATCCACATACCCGCATCCGGAGCCCTATAAATACAAGCCTAGGACCTCCTTTCAGCGGGGGCGATTTATTATCAAGACGAGGAGGTGCTGTCGAACTCCAGAGCCAAGAGTCACGAATTTCAGCGAGGGTTAGTGAGATCCCGACGAACTCTAGCATAAAGAAGGAGCTATTCGAAGAATCTGAAGCCCGTACGTCCGTTCCTTGAGATTAGACTTTGTCTTAATCTCGAGAAGAGCTACTGATTTCGCTTGGTCGATTTCAGCGCTTCAATCAAATAATCCCTCGGTTAAGGCGAATATCTGCCTAATTTTCCATCAACCGGATCCAGATCTAAGGTGGTCCACGGATATCAAAATCCTCGGCACAGGCAAAGATCCCGCGCTAGCAGAAGACCGATAAACGATCTTACTGCGTTTGTTTTGACGAGAGTTGTAATTTTTGTTTTCATTGTGTAAGAGTCTTATAAAAAGACTATCTTTTTTTGTTTTCATTGTAACGACTGAAGTTGTAATGAATACCGCAATGAATACATCAACTTTTGACACAAACAACGTCGTCTTCGTCATCGACGAGCTTAGAAAATTCACGTCGGGTTCACCAGACAAAGAGAGAGGCGGCTAGGTTAGATAGCTCTGATACCATATTGAGAAATTAGGGCTTCAAAGTCAGTTCTCATTGATAGAATTGTTGGTTTATATAGCCTTACACACACGTTTACACAAAGGCCCTCTAAAACTCTTTAATTGCATTACATTCTCAACAGTTAATTATTGATAATTGTCATTGTCATTATAGTTATTGTTTTTTTAGTCCTTGTTCGGATGTTAAATTATAACCTTGAACCCTTATATAACTTCATTTTTTGGTGGGGTGGAAGATCAAATGGAAGGGATCTTTATAATGGTATTAGAGCATGAGTCCAGGTTTTGATCTATGAAAAGGGTGTTCAACTTTAGGAGATATGTTAAAATTTTAAAGAATAATTCTCATCATAACTCTGGAGTTTTGATATAGTGGAAGGAACCTTTTAACAATTGTTATTAGTTAAGTTAGGACGGTAGACTAATTTCCTATCTGTGGATAAGACGACTTCTATAGAAAGAGAAATAATCCAGGAAGAAATAATCTTGAAGAGAATCAAACTAACAATCTCATTGGTGAAAAGTACTTGTTTTCCAAATTAGTGGTGACCAGGCAGACTTGGGAAGAAGACCAAGTCAACTGACATTGAAGGTCACTAGCTGTCAATAAACCTCAGGCTGAGACCTTTCTACAAAAAATAAAATAGAAAAAGACATTGAAAACCAAAAATGATAATTCTCTCTCAATTGTTTCATTGTAGATTAGAATCTTTTGCTGGTTGTACTTATCAGTAAAAGACGGCACTACTTGTAAGTGAAACATAAATATTAGGACAACATACTGCAAGGTATCCAAAATTTATCAAGGGCGATGGCCTTAGTTGCAAAAGCATTATTGACTCCAGTCAATTTGTTTATCCTACCTAACAAATGTTTTGCTAACATCACAGTCGGAAGGTGTATGAATTTTCTAAAGTTAGTAGAAAAATTTACAAGATAGAAAACTAAATAAACAAAAACAAACATGAAGCTGAAGCTACAATATCAACCGATTACATGTTAGGAAACCAAAATGGCTTACTTTGTCTTCTGTATATGAAAAGTCTCTGACCAAGATGCAAAAGAACATCTAACAAAATCCTCCAGAGCACTCAGTAAATATATACAAAAACGTCCAAAACAAGTAGTATAGTAAACAAAAACTCTCTAATAACATAACTAGAAAAAGTTATTTTCTATTTAGAGCTCTGTTGAGAATAAGGAAGTCCAAATGAACTGCTGCTCATGTTACTTCCCTGCGTCGAATCAGTATAGCTATGATGATTCATAACCTTCATGACTCTATAGTCTGCATCTGATGAAGATCCAGATGATGAGGTTGTTCTTATTCCTTCATTCTGCAAAAGCCTCTCGATTTCTTTCACAATGTAACTCATTGTTGGACGATCTACTGATGAGTCTCGTACGCATTGCAAGGCCAACTCTATGAACCTCCTGAAACCAATGACATCGGTGGACTTGCTTATAAGAAGGGGATCCATTATGTCTTTAAGACCAAAATACTCATCGTCTTTGTCATTGATTGCCAGTTTTACTTCACGAACAATGTACTGTCCCATGTGTATCGGTGGCTTAGCACATATCAGCTCTAGCATTACTACTCCAAAACTATAAACATCACTTTTGTCGGTCAACTGTTCTGTCATGTAGTATTCAGGATCGAGGTAACCCTGCATTGGGTGGCATAATGAGGACTAGTAACTGGAACATATATAATGTACAATCCAGCCATTTTATGTGGATATCTTGAAATTCTATATTTTTGCAGTTTTACCCTCCGAAAATGACTATTTGCTAATTTACCCCAACACTCCATAAGATTGGACTAATGTATATGTACCCCAGTTTTTCTCTGAGTTAATTGCAGATAGATCCCTGTACTATCGCCCAATTTCGTGTACAGCCCTGTGGTTTAACTGTTGCATATAGACCGCCTGGGTGATTTTTTTGACTCTTTTATACCCTCATAAAGTACAAAATTGAATTTTCTAACAAATCGACCTCCTAAGGGTAAAACAGTAGGAAATATTTACTCAAGGGGTCTATCTACAACCATAGAACTACAATGGGTCTATCCGCAATTGAGCGACAGTACATGAGGACTATCTGCAATTAACCATTTTTCTATTGGGATATTTACCTGAAATTATTAACATATTATCTGTTAAAGTGATTCGGATTTGTAATCATGACATGAAATCACATACATATGGTGCTTCAAGTATTAACATGCTCACCATTGTCCCCTTGACTTGTGTAGAAATATGTCCCCTTTCACCATCTGATACTAACTTTGAGAGACCAAAATCTGCAACTTTGGCATTTAACTTTTCATCCAAAAGTATATTTGTAGACTTGACATCTCTGTGAATAATAGGAGGATATGCACGTTCATGAAGATAAGCTAGTCCTCTAGCTGATCCAAGAGCAATCCAGAGCCTACTCTTCCAGTCAAGTTGAATGCCAGACTTGCCTACGTTTGATCAGTGTATATAAATATCTACCTATAGAAGGAAATGCAGGTAAATGTTTTGTAAGGTTAGTTGCGGATAGGCCCATGTAGTATCATTGTCTTGAACTTAGTACCATTCTATATTTATTTTTGCAGATAGACCACTTGGATGGATTTTTTTTAATTACCCTCAGGTAGACTCACTAATTTCCCAGGGATAAAAGTTTGGTCTATCTGAAAAAACAAAATTAGAGGGGTAGTAATTTCAAAACAGCAATACTACAGGAAGTCTATCTGCAACTAACCTTTTTTTTTCATACCAGACAAGCAGTCCCTTAGAGTTCCGTTGGGGATGTACTCATACACGAGCAACCGTTCTCCATGCTGAAAACAAAACCCCACAAGGCCTACTAGATTATTGTGATGAACCCTAGAAAGCAACTCGATTTCTGTCTTGAACTCGAGTCGGCCCTGATTTGATCCTCTATATCCCCTCTTGATTGCAACAACTTGCCCATCTGGGAGCATTCCTCTATATACCTGAAGGTGTATAAACAATGTCAAGTTACTTTCACTTAGTGGAAAATATCGGAAATCCTACACAAACTTTACAAGTGATAACCTTGCCATAGCCTCCTGTTCCAATTTCATTAATTTCTGCGAAATTATTGGCGCACTTCTTCAGTTCAACGAAAGAAAAGCATCTTGCTCCTTTCAACTTTGGTGCATCAACGGTATCTTCACTTTTGTCCCATGATGCTGAAAATGGACGGAACCAAGAGATTAAATTCTCTCTTTTTTTTAACATCATATATTTCGTTTAGCAATTTAACGGATTGCAGTTAAGAAATTTATGTATACAATTTGATTCTGAATTTTTTGCCTAATATACATGAGATTGTTGATTATCAAGACATCAATCATAGACCACATTGAACGAGTCTTGGAAAAAATGGATTAGTACTTGCATAAAGATCTATAAAATACTGGCAATATTCCCATTTCAGATTTATATAAAACTTCCATGTCAGGCATTGTTGGATATCTGCAATCTTATATGCTTGCCCGTATTGCAAAATATCGGAACACACTGAAAATTTTTGAGATAGAAAATGCATTCATATAGACAATTGGTAAACTTATTAAGACCAAATATCAAAACTTGGACAAAATATAACTTACTTAAGAAAATCAATAAATATATTGTTGGAAGGATTACCAAAAGGATTGCTTATTTCAATAGCTTTTTGAGCCCTCCGTTTTTGATTGAGTGCATAAATTCCAACTGCTAGAAGTCCAAGGATCAAAAATGTACAGCTAACTATAACCCCAACAACAAAACCTTTACTTGGAGAGGATTTAATACCACCTGGAGTATAAACTTATATCACTATTCTATCCAAGACAGATTATCTCCAAAACTTTTGTCTAAGATTATATTTTGTACCTGGAAAACGATATGAAGATGCATTGAAATAGTATGGACCAAACATTCCGGGGGGTGTAAAATTTTGGCTGCTTAAATCAAGCTCCATCAGAATCTCGGTCCGGTTGAAATAAATGCCTGATGATGGGCAGAGTTTCAGCTCAACCTGAAGATAAGAATTACTATCGAAAAAGGGATTTTGAAGAGATACTGATCCCAGTGAAGATCCATATCTTCTCCATATACTCTCTCTCAATAACTGGAACTTTGAATGATTTGTTGTATCTCTGAAGAATGGCGCTCTAAAAATCATCACTCCTTCATAAGGATTTGAACAGTTATAATTTTGAGGACATGACGGAGGGTCACAATCGGCAGCAACGATGGAATAAGGTGGTGATTTTTCTTGCTGAAAGAGGCAATAGCTTGTTTGGGAAAGATGGAAATTGCTGCATACTGGATTTCCAGTGAGACTGTAGTGAAGAAAATGTCAGTAGATATAGGTTTTAAATTAAAAACACACCATAAAAATTTTACTTACATTATTGTGTTATTGTAGTTGGAACTAAGTTCAACGGAGGTAAGAGCGTTATTCTGGAAATCCACAATCTTCAGTTGCGGGCTGACATTGGTACCTACGTCGAGACTTCCGTTAAAGCGATTATCTTTCAGTATCCTGACGACGTGCTAACATAGTCAGAAAGATGAGATAATTTTTTCCTCATATTTTTCTGTAAGCTGTTGTTTGTTATGATGTACTTACACTTGCTGTAATTGAGGAAAACTGAAGAGTTCCTGTGGAACTTTTCCATGAAGCCCCCCTGATTCTATCATCCTGTGTTCCATAAGAAAGATATAGTTTGAGATCATCGGCTAATTTCAAAATATCACTTCGATACAGTATGAACAAAACGTACAAAGAAGTAAGAGATCCTAATTCGGATATCCAAGCAGGAGCTTCTGAAGGATCAAATGAGTTATTACTCAAGTCCCTGTGAAAAAATCAATACCAATTCTTACATTTCAATCTTATTAAGATACATGTTAGATTGACGCGATGTAGCTCATAATTGAGTTCTTACACAGAATTGAGCACATTGAGTCCCGTCAAATTTGGCAGGGGGCCAGTTAGCATGTTGTTTGCTAAATTACTGGGGGAAAAAAGGAAACACGAAACAATGAATCAAGTATATGAGTGATTAGACGTTGTGTATGGTTACTTACAGTACATTAAGACCCAAAAGATTGCTCATATTGGACGGAACTGAGCCATTGAGCAAGTTATTATCAAGACGGCTGTTTACGAGAAAGCAAATGACAATATTTAGTCATTTCTCCATTTATTAAAATTGAGATGTAAATATAAGTTTACATATCATTGAGATACTCACAGAACAGTAAGGGACTGCACAAGTCCAATAGATTGTGGGATGCTCCCAGTAAGTTGATTTCTATCCAGAAGTCTGCACATAGAGAACTATCATGAGCTGAAGAGCTTGTAGAGATTCAAGAAGAAAATAAATTAGAAACTAGCAATTTGGAAGCTTACATATGTTCTACTGTCAAATTGGAGCTGAAAAGTTTTTCAGGGATCGAACCAGACAACCGATTTTGGTTTAAATGGCTGCAGGTGGAAAGTAATCACAGTTATATTTCTTGTGCCTTTAGCTATACAAAATCAAGGTTTAATTGAGGATGGATCCCTTGTATAATTACCCAATTGTCAATAGACCCCTCGTCTATTGTTGTTGCAGTAGACCCCCTGAGTGATTTTTTTTTTACTCTTTTATCCTCAAGAGGTTTGTTTGTCAAAAACAATCTACCTCTAAAGGTGAAAGAATAAATTCACTCGAGAACTGAAGCTGTAAGATACTTACAAGTGAGATATACAGGGGGTCTATCCACAGTTGGGGGATAATACAGGGGGTTATCAAAAATTAACCCTAAAACAGTGAAATATAAGATACTTACAAGTGCTTTGCATTGAGAAGTTGATCTAACCCGGGGGATGTGCTTGTAGAAATTGGGAGAGATCCTGTCAACTGATTTTCTGCCAAATCTAGCCAAAAGAGATTGGAGAGGCTGCCAAAAGATGCAGGTATCTCACCCGAGAACTGATTCGAGTTCAGAGCCATAAAAGTGATGAAAGAACAAAAAAGATCATGAAATGAACAAGTATACAGACAATATTACATATTACTATAATAGAGTAGAGTCCTTACAAAAATGTGAGTTTCGGTAAATTGCCTAGTTCATTTGGGATGCTACCACTGAAACTGCAACCGATCAAGATCCTAGGCAAGAGTGAAGGAAATAATCACCTTAGCACATATTGCAAAGTTTTCAAGAAGTTGTCGTGATAAATAATGAGAATGATGGACTTACAGAGTGGTAAGCTGCGGTAACTTTCCAATAGCAGGAGTTAAAGGACCACCAAGCTTCTTATTGTAGGATAGATCCCTGCATGTGTTTCAAAATTGAATTAATAATTTTTTACTTTTTATGTCTATTTTATTTCAGGAGGATGTACAAAATTATACTGCTAATAAGTCAACAAGCCTACTAGTCTGAAGTTCCATTANCACGCCCCCCCCCCCCCCCCCCCCCTTCTCCTTCAAATATTTTTCTTGTCTTCTGAAAATAGCACGACAGGTTCCAGAAAATACTCAGATTATATCACATGGTTCTTGAACTCATACAATAAAAACATTTTACATGCGAACATGCTTTACCGTTAAAAGTACCTTTACATAATATCAGTACAGAGAATGCTTACAGTGATTGGAGTTCGGTCAGGCTTCCGATATCACTGCTTATCGTGCCTTCAAGACCCATGCTATATAGTTTCCTACAATACCATAATAGAATAATAATACAAAAACCAAAATAAAATCATGGTCTCAGTCCAACAATCTTAACTAGATAAAACTCTTACAGTTCTGTCACCCTCGAATTCTTGCATGCAACACCATCCCAATGTGAACCACAAGGATCATTCGACATTCTCCAATTCGGCGGTGTGTTCTTCATTTCATCCATCAAAGCTAAGAGAGCTGCAACTACAAGTATTGAAAAAAGCCATACCAGTTAAAATAAAAGAAATTATACTCGATCATCAATAGAAAGAGAAAGAGAGAGATGATTACCATCTTGTCTATTTGTGATACTAGAGCTGAGCTGAGCAGTTACAAAGCACAGAACCAGCAGCAGAAGCATTTTGGGTGTTCCCATTTCAAACTTTAGCAGAGGATAACAAGTAAATCAAGGAGACCCAACCATAATCCAGTACCAGCTCCACCAAAATCATTACTTTTTAATGACCCAATTGACCTTTTGGAGTGTTGGATTGAAATTTTTGAAGGAAATTAATTTGTGTGTTTGTACTAAAGTTTTAAGTTTTGGCGCTGACGCTTTGTTTTCCACGCGAGCTCATTTTGGGGTCTTTGAACGTGTCATTTTCTCCTGAGTTTTTCAAAGATAGAAATTGATAGCGGGCTCGTGGGATTTTTGACTGCGTCACAAAAAGTTTGCGGAAGGTCCCTTTTGCTGATCTCACTATATTTAAGACCCCTTTAATTGTATCTGTTTTTGTCATAAATTTGTAAGGTCTTTTTTGCTGATATCACAGTATTACCCCTTACTTGTAGATTTGTTCAAATGGATCGTAGAAATGTCAAAGCCCGTGCGAAGATAAACATAAGCCACCATCCATCAACACACTTCGGAAGCGCAATTAATGATCCTAAGGTTTTCTGAAACTAAAGAATAACCAATATTTATAAAGGTAAGAATAAGCTAGAACTTTGCATGAGCACTTCTACTTTTATGCAAAATAACTAGGTTCATATTCTATTAAACATGAAGCACTCCTGATTATCTTCCTCAGTGACAAATAATGCAATATGCTGGTTGACTTGTAGGTCACTGCAGCACACATTGCAGGTGAAGGGGTGAACTAAAAACTGTAACCTCATCTCAGTATCTAAGCACCAATTGTTCCTGAGTGTGCATCATGTCAAAACGCTCCGCACCGCGGGATGCTCTGAACCACATACATGTGAAACAGAAGGACAATATGGGTAAAATTTTGACAGGATTTGCACTCATCGTCCTCGGGCTCATCAGCTCTTTCATAGAGGGACTTTCATGTTTTTATGTATAAAGAGTAGTGAATATGATGGAGAGATAATACAATGGATCTTCATCCAAATTTTTCTTTTGGGAATTCAAGAGCAATGTGTATTTTAGTTCTTGACTTTCCTTTTGAAAATAGGCTTTAGGGCGAAATTCACAGAACACCCCAAGACTTTTGGTCAATTATGAAATAACCCAAAAAGTTTGGAAATGTCATCAACCTTCAAAATTTTGTCATGTAACCCTAGAAGGTTGGGGGTTATCGGAAAGTATTCGGAAAGATGCAGAAGTTTGGGAGGTTAAGTGACATTTCCAACTTTTGAGATACTACAACAGTACCTGCAAGTCTACTATGGTTACTAAGCAAAAAAGAGTAACTAAACTATTTAGTAGTTGTTACGGGGTGTTCCATGTTACTTACAAATAGGCTATCCCGAATGAACCTAGTCGAGCCGGCGTCACTCCCCAAAGACGACTCGAAAGGCGGACCCAGTCGGGCGAAAGATTGCTGCTCAGCAACAGGCCGGCACTCTCCCCGAAGGCGACTTAGAACCTCACTTCCCAGCATTATTTTACCATTTATGATCGTCATTACGACTCCACGTCACCCGCAGACAAGCCTCAACTGCTGCTGATTCCTTATGCCACAGAAGCGACTCCGCGTCACCCGCAGACAAGCCTCAACGGCTACTGATTCTGTTGGATAGCAGTATTCCTAATCTATTAGGATTCCTAATCTATTTTGGTAACATGAGGTTATTAGGATTCCTAATTTGTTTTGTTTTTGGTTTTAGGATTCCTAGTTTGTTTTGGTTTTAGCTTTTTCTATATATATGGAGATTAGAATCAATCATAAAAAGAGAGGAGAGTTGTAATCAGAGATTAGAAAGACTTTTCAGCATTGTGCGAGGGAGATATTGTGAGCAAGTTGAGAGCTTTGTTTGAGGGTTAGTTTGTGAGTTTTGTGAGATTGTAACCCTTTGTACTCTCATTGATTTAGTGGAATCTCCTCATCCTCTCCCCGTGGACGTAGGTAATTTGTCGAACCACGTAAAATTGGTTGTTTTGCTATTTGTATGATTTGTAATAGTTTATTTAGGTTCCCTCGACAAGTCAGTCTTAGAACTGATGAGAGGAAGAGCTGATATCCTACTTTGTTAAGATATTTTGCTTAAGGTTCTTGTTTCCTTTGTGAAACATGAATTCCTATTGCGACCTGACTCTCTTGTTGTGCTGTCGAAGTGCTGCCGAAATTTTCGCTGCGCGCAACAAGTGGTATCAGAGTCCAGATTTTAGATCTAGGGTTTTAAAATTAGGTGGAGGAAGATTCTTGTTTGAAGGTTGGTTCTTGGAGTTCTAGGCTTCGATGGAGATAGCATTAGGAGTTGTCGTTGGAGATTTCGCTTTCCTCGTGTGGACAGGAGATCTATTTGGAATCTAATCTAGGATTCAGTTGGGTAATTCTTAATTTCTATCAAAGTTTGGTTCTTTTTCTACAAATTGGAGTTAGTTTGTAATAGGAGAAGAAGGTGAAAGCAGCAAGTCGATGGCGAGTACAGTTCAAGTTGGTTTTCAGAACATCAAAATTAGTGTGGTAAAATATGACGGTAAAATCAACTTTGGTTTGTAGATGAGCGACGTATATGATGCACTTAATGTTCAGAACTTAGAAGAGACCATCATGGTCCATGAGAGACCACAAAAATATAAAGAGGCGATATGGGAAAAAGATGAATAGGAACGCTTATGAGGTGATTAGGTCATGTTTGGAACAAGAGATAAAGTATGATGTGATTGGGGTGACGTCTGCGATGAAGATGTAGGAAATTCTCAACAATAAGTATCTTACGAAGAGTGTTGAGAACAAGTTGCATTTGCTGCGTAGGTTATTCAGATTCCAGATGTTCAGAGACACCTCGCTTGAGGCTCATGTGAACAACTATATAAAGTTATTGTCAGACTTGGCGAATGTTGATGAGAAGATATCGAATGAGTACAAGGTGATTATCTTATTAGGCTCCTTACCGGATGAGGAGTATAACACCTTTATGCTCACTTTGTTGAACGGAAGATCTTCTATCAGCTATAGTGAAGTTACTAATACATTAACAAATTATAATTTGAGAATGAAGGACAAAGAGACTTCAAGCGCTAGTACTTCAGGAGAGGTCTTATCGACGAGAGGAAGAAGTCCATATCTGAAAGGTGGTAATAGAGGAAGGTTAAAGTCAAGAGGTCATCATCAGCTCGTAAAGAACCAATATGCATTCTGCAAGGAGCAGGGACATTGGAAAAGAGATTATCCAAAGATCAAAGAGAAGGAGAATAGCAAGAAAAAGGGCCCGAAAGCCAATGAGGTGAACGTTGCGAAAGACGATGATTCCGATGATTCGAGCTTTTCTCTATTGATTACTCCGGAGGTGAACCACTTGGATGCATCAGGTTAGATACTTGATTCCGGCGCTATATATCATGTGACCCCTAGGCGAGATTGGTTTGCATCGTTCGAGAGACTCGATGGGGGTGTTGTTGTCATGGGAAATAATCAATCTTATGGTATTTGTGGGATAGGTACCATGCGAATTCGAATGCACGATGGAGTAGTCCATGAATTGAAGGAGGTGAGATTCGTTCCTCAGCTGAAGAAGAATCTTATATCAGTTAGAGCTTTGGAGGCAAAGGGATTTAAGGTGACCTTTGAAGACGCTGTAGCAAAGGTTACTAAGAGATCTTTGGTGGTGATAAAGGGAGTCCGTAGTTAGAACTTGTATTATCTAAAGGGGAGCATCGAGATTGGCCAGGTTGCTTCGGCTATTTCAGAGGCGGACATGAGCAGGCTTTGGCATTACAGGTTAGGACACACAGGCGAGAAGTCACTACAAACGCTGTACAAACAGGGGCTATTGAAGGGAGCCAAGAATGGTAAAGTGGAGTTCTGTGAGAACTGTGTACTTGGAAAGAAGGCAAAGGTAAAGTTTAGTACGGCTATTCATAGGACAATGGGCATCCTGAACTACGTGCACACAGACATTTGGGGTCCCACCAAGACTGCATCACTTGGTGGTCGACATTGGTTCGTCACGTTTGTTGATGACTATTCTAAGCGATGTTGGGTGTACACCATGACAAAGAAGAGTGAAGTCCTAGATTTATTTGTGGAGTGAAAAAAGAGATTGGAACTGCGGACTGGAAGAAAGATCAAGACGTTGCGATCCGACAACGGTGGTGAATATACTTCAGACCCCTTTCTGCAGCTATGTTGAGATAAGGGCATAGAGAGACACTTCACGGTTAGTTATACACCGCAGCAGAATGGGTTGGCAGAGAGGCTAAATCAGTCTTTGCTGGAGAAGGTCCGATGTTTATTGTCGCAGAGTGTTTTGGAGAAGATCTTTTGGGTTGTGGCACTTATATATGCGAGTCACCTTATTAATAGGCTGCATTCATCTACGATTAAGGGAAAGACCACTATGGAGATGTGGTCGGGAGAGCCAGCATATAACTATAACCAGCTTAAGGTATTCGGGTGCCCTGTATTTTATCATGTAAGAACAGATAAATTAGAACCTCGAGTTAGGAAGACCATATTTGTAGGATTCAAGCGTGGTGTCAAGGGATACAAGCTTTCGGATCCAGTTGATAGGAAGATTGTGCTGAGTAGAGACGTCACGTTTAATAAGACTTCTGTCTTGAAGCTTCCCAGCTCTCATCAGGTGGAGAGCGACCCGACGAAGGAGATATCGCAGGTGGTGGAGATTGATGCAGCTTCACAGTGTTCAGATGGTGCAGTATCCATTAGAGTGCCGACTGAGGTGACGCCACGCGAGCACGACGGTGATACGAAGGATAAGGGTACTGATCTGCAGGATCAGGAACCGACGGCTCAGGTTCAGGATTCTATTACGGTTCGGAGACAGAGGAGAGACATACGGATTTTAACATGATATGCCGACACAGTTGTGTATGCACTTTCGGTGGAGAGTATCGATAAGATGGTGCCTACTACTATCAGAGAGGTCGAACAGAGTTTGGAGGCTAATTCGTGGCAGGTAGCTATGTAGGAGGAGATGGAGTCTCTTCATAAGAATGAT